GGCTACACCAACGTTTCGACATTGCCAGTTACTCTGCTAAATTCAGGAGTGAACTGCAAAGTGGAAAGACCCCCGCCCACACTGGAGAGACCTGTCCTGGTCAGTGTTACCAAGTCCTGCAGAGTTAGGACATTCTAGACGGTCACAGGCAGGAATGGCAAATCCAACAGGCGCTACTCTGCATCTAAACAGGTCTGTTTACAGACACTAACAGAAAGAGGTGCCAGGAGCTTATGAATGTACCTAGAAAGAATAAATCCCTACCTTAGCATGTGAATTCTACTCTTACAGGAGCCAAGTGAAGAGTGTGAATTTGGGAAAGTTATTAACATGATACAAGTTTCACACTGCTCATCTTTAAAACTGAAATAGTCATTCCTAGCCCATGGAGTTCTAACAATAAAATGAGATGCAGGATATTTCACTACCATAAGGCTTAGCTAAGGCCAGATCCTCAGTTATTCGTAGTCCAGAAAACAGTATTTCAAAAACTTACTACAAAGCTACCGTTATCAAGATAGTGTGGACCTGGCATAAACATAGGTGTAGGCCAGTGGAATAGAATCAAGAGACTAGAAACAAATACATTTATGGTCAATTAATTTCCAACAAAGAAGCCAAGACAATTCCATGAGAGAAAAAATAGTCTTTTCAACACATGCAGGAAAAATATTTCAATAAATGGCTCCAGGATATCCACATGCAAAACAATGAAGCTGAACCTCTACCTCATATGAGACACAGAAGTTAAAGACATGTCAGTTATGTACCATATAATAAGTTAACTCATAAACTCTAATGTAACAGTGAAAATTAAAATCTATAGGAGAAAATACAGAAGTAACCTTTAAAACCTTGGGCAGGCAGTGATTTCAATATGACATCAAAAGTGCAAGCTATGAAATAAAAAATCAGTGAATGGAATGTCACTGAAATTTTTAAAGTTTTGTGCTTGCATGCATACCATCAAGAATGTGAAAGAAGCCCGGTGTGGTGGTGTACCCCTGTAATGCTAGCAAAGCTGATGACCGCTGCAAGTTTGAGGTCAGCCTGGGCTACATGATGAGTTCCAAGTCATTTTGAACTATAGAGTTGTGGGAGACACCTCCACTGTCTCCCCTTGAATGCAGAACAATTGCTGCAACTTTGATTATATGGAGACTTATTTCCTTATACTGATATGTAGAGAGCTGGCTATGGTATTTCCTTCTCTCTTCAATTGTCTCTAAGTATTGCAAATACGGCTAGCTGAGGTACTGGCATGTTATCTCTAAAGCTATCAGATAGTCTCCTGTTCCCTTGCATAGTGCTCTCTCTAAAATATATAAGCATAGCAGGCTGGTAGAGCCAGTGGGCTCCAGGAATGTCAACTGGATAGGAGCCTCAAGCTAAAGAGGCTAAGACTCCCGGGGGCACAAAAGTTTACGTATCAGAAACCAAACAATAGCCTCCTATTTTAATTGAATTATGCAAATTGATCCTTCTGCATATCCTTATCTCTGCATTTTGCAGAGATGCTCTCCTCCCTACCTGGCCAGCCAGCTCAAGTTACTCAGGTAATTCCCTGCCATCCTCACTGTCACTCATCCCGGAGCCACCCCATTCTTGACAAGATAATAAATTCTGAGAGAGGCCTACGATCAGGGCCTTTGTCTGCACATCCTCATATGGATTGGATGCCTGTAACCCCTTGGCTGCTCATAACTTGGAAAATGTCTTGCTGGGATTCCAGTAACATCTCAATGGGATTGTAAATATAACTTTTTGGATTGTGAGGGAGACTGTAAAAGGGGTTAGAATACTTGGATGACTGTACACAATATTTGGGCTTACAATAAGAGTGAGACTGTTTCAACCACTCCAAAAATGTAAAAAAGATAATCCTCAAAATGGGGGACATTTTTAGATCACATACCTGATAAAAGATTTTTATGTTGAAGAACACACGAAAATCAATCATAAAAAGACGACCCAGCAAAGAAGCTGGATAGTCATTTCTTCCAAGAATATATACAAATAGCCAGAAAGCACATAACAAGATGCTCCACACCATTAATTATTAGTCTAGGATAGTTAGAGTAAATATGAAAAACAATAACAAGTTTCAGAGAGAACGCATTTGGAGTGCTCATTTCATGGCTGCTGGGGACATAAAATGGGGCAGGCACAGCGGAAAGCAATTTGGCTACTCCTCAAAACATTAAATATTTGAAGCCAAACATACTGGCACACTCCTGTAATCGCAGCACTCAGGGAGGCTGAGGCAGGAGGATCACTGCAAATTTAAAGTTCCACCTGAGCAATTTAGTAAGACTTTGTCTCACTAAAAAATAAACAGTGTTTGGGGTGCAGCTCAGTGGTAGAGTTCTCTAGGTTTGAGCCCCAGTACCATAAAAAGTGTGACATTAAACCCAGAGTTACCATAAGACCCAGAAATCCCATTCTTAGCAAAAATCTATGTCTACACAAAAACTTGTATGCAAATGTTCATAACGTTAACCCCTAATAGCTAAAATGTGCAAACAGCCCAAATACCCATCAACAAATGAAATGCTAAATAAAATATACAGTGGAATATCATTTGGTCATAAAACAGAATGAGGTATTAGTCCACATAGCACCATGAATGAACCTCTAAAACACTAAGCAAAAGAAGCCATGCACAAAGGACCACATATTATATTTTTCCACTTACGCAAAATTTCCAGAACAGGCAAGTCTACAGAGATAAACAGTAGATTAACAGCCTCCCAGGGACTGGAGGCAAAGGAGACAGTTAGCATGGGGCAGGACTTCTACATTATGGGGCCAGTTCCCTGACTGAACAAATGCAGACTTTACATGGGTGCATCCCAACCAGGCTGTTCTAAACAGAGAAAACACTGATTCTTCTGGAGTTTGTGTTTAGCGAGGAGCATACAACTATCTCCAATTTGAATGCCAAGTTTTCAGGGAAACAAATGTCGCCCTTCTCTTTGAAAGGTCATAGTGCTTAGGAGGGGTAAATGATAAAATGTGTCAAGAAAGACAATCTCCTGAATGTCATTTTGGAGTGTCTCCCTTGCAGTAGACTTTTCTTCTCTGCCCAAAGGGAGAGCTTGGCTTAGAATTTGGCCACCTCTGAAAAGCCAACTCCCCATGACTGCTTTTGGAGGTTTTGAGAGGACACCTAGACTTAGTCCCTCAAAAAATTAAACATTTCCAGGCATACTAGCATATGCTTGTAATCTCAGCTATTCAGAAGATCAAAGCAGGAAGATCTCAAATTTGAGGCCAGCCTGGATAAATTAGAGAAACCCTATCTCAAAAAAGTAAAGTAAATAAATAAAAAGAAAATAATTTAATTTAAAAACAAAACTATTTTATGATTCAGCATTTTCTTTGTGGGTATACCCTAAAATCTGAAAGCAGGAGCCACGTGCAGGCTGACTGGGGGAGAGCCAGACACCAGTCCTCTCCTATGAGTCGGCACCATTCATGGACTACAGGGGAGGAAAACAAGAAGTCAACAAGAAGCTAAGGCCTCCTGTGAATTGGTGCCATGTGTGGGCTGACTGGAGGAGAGCCAGATGCCAGCTCCTTCCAGCACACAGCCGGGGGGCCAAGAAAAGCCAACAGTACTCCTCCCTCTACCCCTATAAGCAACTGGCTGATATAGAGAAATACAGTGATGATAGCCTATGATGTAAAATACAACTTAATGCTTGTAGTGTTTAGCGTTTCACTGACTTTGCAGACCTAAAGCCGCTAGTCTGATTATCTACTCACAGGCTAACAATACGCAATGTAGCATCTATGGCTTTTTTCTGTTTTATTTTGCTTGATTTTATTCTCTCTAAAATAAATTTTTTAAAAAATTGAAAGCAGGATGTGAACAGATATTTCTAGCAACATTATCCACGATAGCCCAGAGGTAGAAGCAGTGCAAGGGCCTGTTGATGGATAAATGGCTGAGTTTCTCTAAACTGAAAATCTGATATCCAAAATTCTGCAAAATTTATAACATTTTGAATGCCAACATGCTGCTATAAGTGGAAAAATTCCACACTATGAAACTTCATATGATGAATAAATTATTTAAAATATGTAAAATTACCTACAGGCTGTGTGTGTATGGTATACACAAAACATAAATGAATTTCCTGTTTATTCTTGGGTCCCACCTCCAGAATATCCCATACATACAAATATTTCAAAATCCCAAAAGTCTAAAATTTAAAACATTTCTAGTCCTAAGCATTTTAAATTAGGGCTATTCAATCTGTTTATACATAATATGGAGTAGTATTCATCTTTAAAAACAGACAAAATTCTTTGATCAGTGCATGCCATATCTATACATAAAAAATAGCTCTTTTAGAAGTTTTAATCTTATAGTCCTATAAATGGTTTATATATATTTTACATTTTGAAATTGTATCTTTATCAATTGAAGGATAACGTGTTATTTCTCGTGTTTGTTGTATCTTGCTCACAATAATAAGCAATGATGGGGCTGGGGATTTAGCTCAGGGGCATAAGCGCCTGCCTTGCAAGCAGGCAGTCGTGAGTTCGATCCCTGGTACCGATAAAAATGAAAAAAAAGGACACACAAAAAAAAAGACAAAAAAAAAAAATAATAAGCAATGATAAATTTCCTTTAAAAAAGAAAATATCATATTCAACCTTTAACATACAATTAATAAAAAGAGAAAATTGTGACAGGTATACCATGGATAAAACTTGGCCACCTTATGCAAAGTGAAATAAATCAGTCACAAAAGACAAAAAGTGTGATTCCACCAATATGTGGTATCATATACAATGGAGCAGCCAGTTTCATAGGAGCAGAAAATAGAACAGTGGTTACCAGGGATTGGCAGGTAAAGGAAATAGGAAGTTATTAATAAATAGGTCTAGAATTTAAGTTTTACAAGATAAAAGAGGTTTGAAGATTAATTGTAGAACAATACGATTGTACTTAATACTACTGAACTGCACACTTAAAAGGGTTAAGATGACTGGCCCTGAATCAAGGTCGGCAGCTTCCTAATCCTGCTGGTTTCAAGCAGGAGATGAAAGATTTGTCTTTCTATGGTCTGTTGGCCATTTCAGAACTTGGGCAGTGAAATGGTCAATTCATTAGAAAGAAACAGCTTGAAGCAACCCTACCCCTTACCTGGTGAGCAGCTGTGAGCCTGGCAGGCTGGGGTGGTCTGGGATGGGAGCCACTGGCATTTAGGTCCTGGAGCGCTTGGAAACCAAGCAACCCCTCCCCCCATGGTGAGTTTTATACTATGTTGCTTTGTATAAATTCTCTGTATGCAAAGACATGGACAACTATTTGGAAGAAAACAAGAGACAATATGATAGTGAATATCTCAGTCATCTAGCTTTGAAATTTATATCTCTTACATTGCTTTCTTATGTCCTATTTTGTTCTGTTTTGTTGTGTTTAATTTTACCCCCTTTAAAATAAAAATTAAAACAAATTTTTAAAAAGGGTTAAGATGACAAATTTCATGTTATAGCTTACTACAAAAAAATTTCTTAAATAAAAATTCTGAGAATGCAAAAGAAGAGCTAACAAAAGAGAGTTTGCTCACACTTCTCCTCTGTTCCCCTAGTTCCACTCTCCAAAGACAAACCAGAAATGTTGTCATTTCCAAAACCACTTCTCGAGGCCTGTTTTCAGGCTGGAGGAACAGATCAGTGGTAGACCACCTGCCTAGCACACATTGGACCTGGGGTTCAGTCCCCAGGTCCTGGGTTCAAGCCCCAGCACTGCAAAACACAAAAACAAAAAGTAAATAGATAATAAACAAAAAGTCAGTTTTCTCCCTCCTGCAAACACTCCTGGGGTTGCCACACTCCTGGGGATGTACATCCTCATCCTTTTGAAGCTGGCAACTGTTATGTGACTTGATTAGGCCAATAGAGGATTGCGTGAAAGCAGATGTTTTAAAGCTAGCGCATGAGTCACCATCACCTTCATTCTGCCATGACAATCATGGAGCCTGGAACTGGAGCTCCCTCACCCCGAGGCCCTGAGAAATGCTCAAGTTCTCCCTGGATGCTCCACGACAAACAGCTGGCACAAGAGAGAGACAAACCTTTGTTGCTTGGGACTTGAGAGCTGTGGTTATTTGTTCCACAATGTATCCACACCTATCTAATTAGTCCACTTGGCATGGCTGGGATTATTTTTGGTGGTGCAGGATTCTGTACTTGCCCCCTCTTCTGGTAAACATGGCACTGGTTAATGCACACTAACTGAGGAAGCATAAATCCCTCCATGATAAGGGCCCATGTTTGGGAGAAGTTTATTTTCTGTTCTTGTAACAATGGTGTGCGGATGAATGTGGCAGGAGGCAGCCTTCTTCCACTCATTCATGCGCTGACTGCCAACTGGTGGGACCACTGCCATATTCAATACCAGCTTTCCAAGGCTGCCCTAAGGCGCCTCCCTTTTAGCAAACCAAAAAGAAACACAAAGACGTACAGGGAAGAGAGGGAAGCACAAGATGGATTAGGGCACATCTGTCCCCTAGGATGTAGTCATCCAACTGTGTCTTTCTACAAGGGAGGCTAGGGAAGGTCTCTAGCTGAGTGTCCTGCAGTGAGAGAAGACCCTGGACTTGGTGGAGCAGGCAGCATCCTCTACCATACAGCCCCTTGGCATTCCACCCCAGGGGTGGCCATGTGACTCACTCTGAGCCAATCAGAGCTCTTCTTGGGTTTTTCCTGTGGACCCAACAGGAAGCTGTTTCTTGGCTTTGGGTCAGGGTACAGGAAGGATATGAATGTGCCCCAGCCCTGTATCCTTCCTCCCCAAAACATAAAGAAAGCATATCCATCAACGAGAGAGTGGAGGGAAACACAAAGAGATTTATGGCCCAGAGAGGGAGAGCTAAGGGATAGCAGCAAAGTCCTATGACATGTTTGTGACCTAGCTTCAGCGCCTGACACCAAAGCCACTCTCCTCCTTTCCAGGTTTGTGTGCCAGTGACTCCTTCGGTGTTTGACCAAGGTGGATGGAATTCTAGCACTTCAAAATGAAAAACTGGTGGGACACAGACAGTGAACTCCTGCTGGAATGATGCAGTTTTCTTGTGGGTGGCCACAGTGTAGTGTAGCGTGGGAACCCGAAGAGATGGCATTTTTACTGCCCCTGCTTTGACTGCCTGTGTGACCTTAAGTGGAGCGTTTTCCTTTAGAGGGTCTCATTCCTCATACGTAAAATGTGGGGCTTGGGTGCAGTCACAGAGGAACCCTCCATGTGTGAAAACTTTGTCTGCACTATTTGCGTCCCAACATAAAAACATTCCCTCCCTGAGAAGGAACAAGGACCTATTTCCACTGCTGGCTTCATTGTAAGCAGCACTCATGCCTCTCCTAAAAGAGTACCAGTTTCCTAGGGCTGCTATAACAACTTACTGCAAACTGGGTCTTATGAGATCAAAAATGTATTATGTCACATTTCTGTGGGCCAAATGTCTGAAATCAGGGCCACATTCCCTGCAGAGCCCCAGGGAAGAGACCTTTCTTGCCTCTTCAAGCTTCTGGTAGTCCTAGGAGCTAGGGCTGCATCACTCCAAGCTCAGTCTGCATCTTCCCATCCTCCCGTAAGTCTCCATGCGGTGGCCCTTTCTGCATCTTACAAGACATTTACCGCTGCGCTTATGAATCACCCAGATAGTGTAAGGTGATGTCTTTCAAGATCCTTAATTTAATTACAGGCACAAAGACTCTTTTTCAACTAAGGTCACAATCACATGTTCTAGGTATTGGAATGTGGGTGCAGATTTTGGGGAGTCACGTTCGGTTCACCGTGGTGTTGTGAGGATCTTTAAGTAAAGTTGTAGAAGAGCCACATAACTGACATACATAACTGTAGTCACAGTTGCCACCGATACGGCAAAAAGGAGGACAGTAAATAAGCCATACCCAGTTAAGACTCCCTCTCTCTATTCTGTTAACGGCTAATGCTGGAAGAGTTCCATAGCTAACAAGTTAGCCAAGCGGCTTTTTTCCTAACAGCAGATCTCCAAGTGGGTCATATGACCATTCCATTGTTTGCTCCTTTCATACAAATGCCAATGTGTTTGATTATATTCTGCTCCAAACTCCACTCGCAAGGTGCACACAAAATTAACTTCCTCAAAGCCATTCTTGCCACGGCCTCATTCTTCTTGAATTTAGAATGCTGTTGAAAGGAGGCATCAAGGGTCTATTTTCTGACACCAAGCCGGACAGCAATCACCTTGTCTTTTCAAGAAGCCATACCATGTTTGGTTTTCCCATTCCAAAAATAACTTAGAAAGTTTTGGAGACAGTCACATGGCAGGGAACCAAAAGGTGGAATGCAGGGTGCTCCTGTTGCTTGTGGATGGCCTCTGGAGTACTGAAGTACTTACATTCCAGCACCAGGAGGGAGCCGAAGAGGGGCAAATGCGGTGAGGAGAGGGCAAGAGGCTGCCTGGCATTCCTAGGCCTCCTGGGGGAGGACAGTTGGGGTGTCCCAGCACCGGCGTCTGGAAGGTGGCCCAGAGAGACTCTGCCCCAAGTCTGCCCAACAGCCACCCAGATCCTGTTTCAGTTTACTCCTCACCCTCTGTCCCACAAGGGACTGCTGTGGAGGGACGTGTTCCATTTCCTCACTTACACCACCTTGAAGATGGACAGAATCGATGCCTTCCCTTTTTCCCAGTTTTTAATTAACAGCACGATTCACTTCCTCCTTGGGCAACTGTTCTCTCTTACTAATCAAAATTTTTATGCCAGTGTTCCTATGCCCTCATGCTCCTGGGTAGCAATTATCAGTGATGTTATTAAAATCTCTCTCTCTCTCTCTCTCTCTCTGTCTCTCCCCCCCCTCTCTTTCTCTCTCTTCCATTTGTGAATGACAAACAAGAAATAAAAAGTAAAAAACTTTTCAACAAATGATGCTCAAGCAATTGGGTATCTGTGGAAAAAAGATCTACAAAAATTAATTCAAAATGGAACAAAGGCTTATAGAAATTATTAATTTTTAGGAAGTAAGACTTTGGGATCTAGGGTTAGGCAAACAGTTACTAAGTTTAATATCTACAGCACAATCCATAGAAGTAAAAATTGAAAATCAGACCTCACCAAAATGAAAATTTTTTACAAAACCCTGTTTAGAGCGTGAAAAGATAAAGTATAGACTGGGGGAAAATATATGCAAATAAATATCCAACAGAGATGAGTATCTAAAATATCTAAAAGCACTCAAAACTCAGCAATAAAAGCCCACCTAATTTGAAAATGGGTAAAGAGCGTAAAGAAATATTCCACTGAAGAAGATGATACAGATGGCCAATAAACACACGAACAAATGTTCCGCATCATTAGCCACTGGTGAAATGCAAGTCAAAACCACAACAAGACATCACAATGCAACAATAATGACTGTGAAAAACAGCACAAACACCAAGTACTGCCAAAGATACAGCTAACTCATAAACTGCTGGAGAAATTGTAAAGCGGCATGACTATTCTAGAAAGTAATTTATAGTTTCTGGAAACACTAAACATGCCACCATCATGTGATCCAGCAATTACAGTGCTGGGCTTTGAAGCCCCAGGACAAAAATGGAAGGAGGGAAAGAAAGAAAGAAAGAAGGGAGGAAAGGAGGATGGAAAGAAAGGAGGAAGGGAAGGAGGGAGGAGGCAGGCAGACAGACAAAAAGCAAGCAAGCAAGCAAATTTGTAGTTTTTGTGAAGTCACAATAACATGAATCTGTTCAAGACTGAGTGAAGCTGTGCATGGACTTTCCCCCAAACCCCTGCAGGTCACCAGAGGACAGAAGGCAGCAGGTTCCCATGTGCAGTGGCTGAGGGAAAGGGTAGAGAGGCGTCGTCAGTGTGGTTGGACCACTGGGAGGCCTGGCCGGGAGCTGTGCATTTGCCAGTGGCAGCCCACGTGCTCTGTAGTTACACTTGGTGTCATGCTGATGCAGGAGAGGCAAAGCCGCCCTCTAAAACTATTTTAAAGGAGAAATTCAGACTGATCTAACTCTGTAGATCTTCATTGGCTTTAACAGCCGATCTTGATAAGCTTCAGAATTCTACACCCAGGTGGCAGACCAGACCAAATATGATTTAGAATGCTCTGTCCTACCAAGTGGGCAAATC